GCTTTTCCAAGGAAGCGCTACATGCTGTGGCCCCCGGGGTCCCCCAACTCAATCTTGGAAAAGGATTTAGTGTCCCGTGTCTGCCTCCTAGGAGCCCTGGTGGGCAGGGGGTATGCATTGGCCTGAGAACAGCAAGGTCGGCAGTTCGAATCCACTAGGTGCTCCACAGGAGAAAGATGAGGTTTTCTACTCCCGTCACGATTTACAGCCTTGGAAACCCACAAGGACAGTTTACTCTGTCTTTCCCGTCACCGTGAGTCCGAATCGACTAATTTTGTTGCCAGCGAGTTTGAGGGGTTTTGTTTTGCCTGTCTGTCTGTCTTCTGATGTTCAGAAATTCACTGCAGCGAGACTATGTATGCTACCGCTGTTCCGGGTGGGGGATTCCACCACATGACACATAAAACAGTTGGCTTTATGGAACTGTTTTTGCCAGCCGCGATTAAATGTTCTCACTCAGGGCATACTTTCGGAAGCGCCAGGGAACACTGCCTGGGATTTCGCCTTCGGAGACGTAGAGACCTAGTTAGCCTGCTCTGCTATATTTAGGAGCCTTGAGCTCTCTCAAGAGTCCTGGTGGTGTAGTGGTTATGTTCTGGGCTGCGATCTGCATGGTTGGCTGTTTGAAACCACCAGCAGCTCTGTGGGAGAAAGACTGGGCTTTCTACTCTGGTAAACAGTTACAGTCTCGGAAACTGAGCGATTAAAAAGGTTGGCCAAGGTAATTTAATCACAGCAGTGGTCCTGGGGCCAGGAACATCAGTACTGCCAACGCACTTGGGAGACCGCAGACTGACGGAATCAGGATCTCACCAGGGCTCCGCGCTCTGCCCTGTGCCGTGGTGATCCTGACGCGAGTCTCACTGGCGAACCATGGATTTACTGGGACTAGATAGACGTGGTTGGGATTGGAAGGGAGGTTTCCCTGTCCAGTCCCTTCCTATTTTGAAAATGTGACACTCAGATCCTCTTTTTTTGGGTTTTGTTACACTCATGTTGAGGTTCTTGTTGCGTGCCCTTATATCTAGTTGGATCCACAGGGACCCAGTAGGACAGAGTGGAACCACCCACAGGGTTTCCAGTTCAGGTGCTAACCTCAAAGTGAACGGAATGAGTCAACCAGCCAATCGGAGGGAGAAAGATGATGTTTTCTGCTTCTCGAGAGCGCTGCAGTGTTGGAAACCCAGGGAGTCGTTCTACCCTGTCCTGTGGGTCAGAACCGACTCACGGCTGTGAGTTTTGGTGTGTTCAATATTCAGATCAGCAGCTGAGATTGTTAAGGTTTAGTGTGCCAACCTGGCCAGTAAACACATGTGGGGCTAATTGAAGGGCCAAGAGATAAGTGGCTTAGTGAGCCTCGCCTTTCTAGTTCTCGGGTCTCTTGATCTTTGATGGTTGGACAAGGGTGCAGCTGCCTTAGCCAGTTTCCTACTTCAGCTGGCAAGGCTCACTTCCTGCAAGACATCCCCATGGAGAAGCTGCATGGACCTACCCTGATGCAGCCCTGGGTGCTGGAGCAGCCGTGTGGAGACCCCTGCCAGCGCTGAGATGTTTACACGTTCACTGATTTGGCTTTCCTCCTGCAGTCAGCATCATAGTGTGTGTTTTGTAGATGGAGGAGGGACTTTGTGGATTGATGTTGGACGGATGGGCCAATGTTGGACTTGTGGGCTTGGGCAGCACTGGATTGGGATGCTTTCTTAATGTACACTTGCCCTTTATATAAAACTCTCATATACATATGAGTTTCTGTGGATTTGTTTTCCTAGTTTACCCAGACTGACACAGCAGCCAATGAATGAGGTAAACAGGTTTATTTAATTTATTTACTCATCTGTAGTGAGTTTTGACATGAGTCTCACCACGTCTTTGCACATTTCTGGGACTCTGGTGGCCTGGTGGTTATGTTTTGGGGTGCTAACTGCAAAGTCAGCAGTTTGAAACCACCAGCGCCTCCTTGGGAGAAAAGGGGAGGCTTTCAACTCCCATCAAGAGTTACAGTCTAGGAAACCCACGGGGCAGTTCTATGCAGACCCATAGGCCTAGCCAAATGCGATGATTTGGCATGGACTTGATGGCAGTGAGTTGGAACATTTCAACACCGGCCAGGCAACTCTTAACCTGGTTAGCACATTCTATTCCTCCCCCTGCCCCAACAGTTTAATTGACGTGTAATTCATGTCATGCAGTTCAATTGTTCAGTCACATCCAGAAGAGTTGTACAATCATCACCACAATCAGTTTTAGAACATTTTCTTCATTCTTGTACTCATCTTATTAACCCACCCAACCTCCCTTGCTGTACTCCCAAGGAGCTACTGTCTATCGATCCCCCTATCTGGGATTTCATGGACAGAAAACCATTAAAAAACAAAGCAATAGCAGAAGAAAGCATAAAACCCGCAATCAAAGAGAAAGATGAAAATATTAAAAGCTAGAACAAATTTAAATGGATCATAAGGGAGATCAAATGACAGGCTGCTGAATTGTAACCTACCTAGGTTCACACATTCTTTTGAGAATCGGCAAAGCACAGTCACGCCTGTGAAACAAGTGAGTTAGTACAAAAGGGTCAAATTGTAACAAACCGTAGCTAGTGGTTACAGTATTGGACAGCTCAGCCTAGATTTTCAGTGAACTTGTGGCTTATTCTCACCTAACCAAACGAATCCCTAAACCTGTTGCCATCGAGTTGATTGTGAGTTATAGCGACCCTGCAGAGGATTTCTAGGCTGTAAATCTTCACAGAGGCAGGCAGCCTTCGTTTCTCCAGAGAAGTTGGTAAACAAAATAAAAACGGCTCAAAA